GGTTAATAATAAAGAAAAGAGAGAACAGAGGAAGGAGGGAGTGGAGGGAGATAAGGGAAACAGAGGGAAATTAAAATTACCACGGACGAACGACCATTGATAGAACTGGATACAAAGTTCAACATCAACGTCCATGCGTGGATGTGCAAGTGCCTCACTATTTTCGTGTTCGGCTTATCGTTGTACACGTCTATCATTCGATATTTCCGAGTGTCACACGCTTGTTATATATCTCGGTACTTGATGGGAATGGCGGAAAATTCATTAGCGTCCGATTCCAGGTGACAAGCCAGAAAACTATCCAAAGATTTATACGTATAAAGGAACCTGATCTTAACTTGACAACAAGACCCGACGTGGCAGCTGCCTCGGGATGTCGAAGATTACTACGCTCGGATTCGTTCTAATCGTTTTGGTCGCTCGCGTGAGTCGCTATTTACTTACATTCATTTATTTAGTTCTAATTCAGGACTGTCCTTACAGACCACCGGCGACACGAGGAGCTCGGAAAACGTGAAGCTGTCGCAGGAAGACCGTCGCGGATTGCCTATGAGAAATCACAATTATGTCTTATCGGAAAGCTCCATGAGCAACGCCAGAGTGCAATCGGACGCAGCCATAGAAAAACGGAGAAACAAAAGTGCACAGGAAGTTAAAGCGGGATTGGATGCTGTAATAAGAATCATGAAGGAGGTTGTATTTTAATGCAATATCAATAATCGTAACGTGTAGCATACAGGTACTATTGATTGCGTGATAAACAGGTAGCCTCGGCTAGTCTGCCAAAAAAGTGTCGCCAGGACCACGAAGCGTTTCGTTTAAATGCCAGAAATTACATGCGTGACATGAGACACTGCATTGTCAAAAAATTTCAAGATTTGACTGCATTTCGTAAGAAGAAGCGAGAGGTTATAGATGCTGCAATAAGATTCATTCGTGAGATTAATGACGTGAGTTATTAATATTAGAATATAAATTCGTCAAAATACTTGAAATTATATAAACGTTATCGCGCCTTCGTTACAGAATATGACTGAGCTGGATAAGCAGACGATGAATAAGCTTAGGAGGACTGTGCGAATATTATTAAGTCAAACAGCGTCCATCTCTCCCAAGTCGACTAGCTGCGCGTCGAAAGAAATAATTGAAAATATTGTAAGCACAGGGAAGGAATTTATTAAAAATGGCTGCTAATCTTTGGTATCTCGTTACGCGAGGGTTCCTAGTGAGAAAATTAATAAAATTCTTTCTATAATTACAAAAATACAATTAAAAATCAATAAAAACACAAGCTGGTGAACCTGGCAGTTGTGTGTTCAGCGATTGCAGCTGCAGCTCGATGGATAATGAAGAGGAAGAACCATTTGGTATAACGTCATAATTATTCGGGATATAGAGACAGGAGGCAATAAAAGCCCACCGGAGAGGGACAAGAAAAACGGATAAACAAAATAGACAAAGTAGCCAGCCATTACGGAACCATGTCCTTTCGGACCCCCGCTGATCCTACGCTGGAATGCCTCCGCTATTATAAATATCTTCACCCAAAGGCTAAAGGCGTGGGACCCTGGCACCGTGAACGACGTGCCACGGCGAAACGTGACGTTTCTCTAGAATCGCGATAGCTTCTCTACTTCTTCTTCATTTTTTTCTTACCATTTTTAATTCGCGATCATTTTTCAAATCATCCCGCCGCCATCGACTCTTACCACCACTCCTGTTCCGGCTATACCTTCGATACCAAAGTGTCTTCTATTTCGAACGAGCAACGCGCTCAATGGATTTCTATTTGAGGACGTTCAAAACGATTCTACCTGGTCTCTCGTTTCTTCGATAGATATTGCCTGTATATATATTTCCCATGAATTCGAGATGGGACTTTGCTTTTTCTTCTTTTGACAAATCTAAAGAGTCCCAGGAGAAGAATGGAGTACGGGTGCAGTGTATAAGTACAGCATCCACCTGTATTGGACTTTTCACTGTGACTATATATGTGTACGATTCAAGATTTCTCTTTGCGTTGTTCTATATATACTGCGAGCTGGGACAAAGCCTTTGTCGCGTGAGTGTCACGGAGCTGGGACTGTCAAAAGGTCCTGAGGGTAAGATTCGTGCCAGGATGAGAATTCTTGAATGCTAACGAACTGAAGGTGGTTCCTGAGGCTGGTGGTAGTGCCAATGTCAATGCCGGGTGGGCTGGATGGCATAGGTACCAGCAGGTAGTAGCTTCGCAGGACACGGGCCCAGGTAGCTGATGCATTTTGAAAGGGTGCCACGGGACTGGAGGTGGCTTGGGTCCATTTAAAAAAAAGGTAGGCACAGAAAAGTCCCGAGAAAAAGATGAAAATCGATTTTGAGGATATCCCGTATGGTATGCGTCCAAGGAATTCCTTTGGTTATGTATATATGTGTGTTTGCGTGTACCCTTCGTAATTTCAATGGACCACGGTCCATACCATGATTCCTGCAGAGAAACACTCCACAGGGATATTCCGGTCGCCCGAGATGTTATTAATAAGGTCCTTGTTAAGCGCGTGGGTGGGTCTTCGTGGCTTCATGGAGGCTCAATGCTGCTTCGCCTACCATATACCTTTAGACTTTAAACTATACAATGAATTTAGTCGCTTTTTTTTTCTAAACTGACTTTACTTCCCTTTATATTCAAAACTTATTCATTTTTATAGTCTGGGAATATGATAGTTACCCATCTGAATACTTATTGTTAGCCATTCACGTACTCGGATACTTTAATGCTCGCCGAATTATTCGGTGTGGGTATTCAATGCTTTAGAAATCCAAAGTGTCGTCTGGTGCATATTCAATGACTGTGGTATATATCAATTTATACAATAATTCCAACGGTTACGTTATATTCGATGAAAATTATTTTTTCTATGCCACCCATTAATTTCGGTCGATCCGAGTTCATTCGTGATTTGCGAAATTACCTTGCCGATATATTAGGTCTGAAAATCACTTGCGGTTCCCGGATTCTCACGTTCGCATATACAAGTCTGAGAAGTCCGTAGAAAAAGTAGAGAATGATTTCTCATCGTTTCGGCAACGGGGTTCTTGAATTTCATCCGAAAATGCCGTCTCATCGAGTCTCGCATCGCTCATGCGTCGTTAGGGCATACCGCGCGAGCGCAGACGCAGTTTAGCCCTTCTCCATCTCCGGAGCGCTTAGCTTTTTGCCTACGAATCACACTGACTCTGATCCGTCATGAGATCCCGTGCGCTGAGAAATACAAACTGTCGGACTGCTGCCATCCACGATCCGAAGGAACGAGAGAGAAGGAGAGAACAAGTGACAGAGAGAGGGAGAGAGAGAGAGAGTCTCTCGATCCTTCGATTCCTTTAGTCCTTCATTCTCCTATCCGTCCCATTGCATAAAGTACTGGCCCTCTTTCTTGCTGGCACGAAGAAGACATTGAAGAATGAACGAGAAGGGGCTAATCGAGGACTACTAGCAAGACCGTGATGATCCCACTGATAACGAGGATGACAACAATAAAAAAGAATGAAATCCTTCTAAAGCCAGGCTTATCCTGTGATTTCTTAATTTTTTTATTCTTACTCTTTTTTTTGACTACACAGAAAATTCGGATCAACCCAGAAGCCTTACAGCGTGTACCATTCTTCTGGATCCCTGATGAGCTAACGACCTCGTGGTATCCTGTCTGCCACAGTACAGACCCCTATACACAGAGATGCGCTTGGTAGTATTTTATTCGTTAAGTCTTTATTCTTTCTCTCTCTTTCTGCCGTTCCTGCAGTATATTTTTACGACTCTGGCAAATAGCATTGTTTAGCATATCGCAATGCGTATAGGAATGAAACTGGCGTTTGCGTTCGCCAGTAAAATTAAACGGCAACGTTCGTCCGGTCTGTGAAGGAGTCCTATTGGTGGGAACATTAAGACTCTTTCCGATTAGCATCCGGCTAATGATCTCTGTAAAAGTTTTTAGTGTAGGATAATCGATTGGCCCACTCAAGACTCACTGATCTATCGATCCTATCCCGTTTGATTATTTCGAAGATTTTTCTCGATAGAAGACCGACTTGTACTTTAAGGAAGTATATTGAACTCTTGGTAGGTTTTCTCTTCTCGTACGAAAACTCGAAACGGCTATTAGTACACGTATACGTGTATACCTAAGATCGATAAAACATCTCTCGTAACACTAATTATCCATTAATTGGGATAGCCCAGAGCAATACGCGCAATAACTCTTGGACACGGGTAATTGGCATTTTTCTCGTAGCATTGAGTCATTAGTCAACGTTCATTAAAGAGGCGGAACTTTCGCGCTGCGTTTTTCGATACCGTGGCTAGTATTGGTAACGATATTATCCGTCGATTAAAATTTACTTGAATGACAAAAAAAAGAGGACAATGAGGTAAAGAAAAATGCTGATAAAAGGGTGGACTACTTTTTCCTGTGGTACAATGCAGATTTCGCCCTTTGATCTATGTTCCCGTGGGATCCAAAAGTGATCCAATACCTAACAGCGGGAGTCTTCTGGCTCGCTATATTTTTATTTCCCTGCAAATAAAATGGATATATTTTGTTTTTTTCGCGATACCTTTTACGATTCCACGGGGCTCCTCATGGGTTTCGGCAGACCCACCGAAAATGGGCGTACATAATATTATTACGGTAGTTGCGTGGTGTTTAGTTTCAGAGATCCTATCGGTGCGGCGAACACGCGTAGTTAGAAATGTACTAACATGAGTAGGCGGCACAGTCTGAGGTACAAGGTCACGTTCACACCGAGCGATCCTGACGACAATGGACCACTAAAAGGAAGCGTACCCCAGGGATGCCAGAGGCTCTTGAAGGTAGGATTAGGATAACTTGGAGTTAGGTACTTCCAATGAGCCCTGCACTATCCTTTTAGGTGATTCTGGGAAAATTTCACGGAACGCGATCACGTACTTCCTATCGTTTTAAGATTTCTCGAATTCCACTCCCGGTTTGGTGTCTTTGCGAAAAACACATAAGTAGAAAGAGAGCAGAGAGGGAGAGGGGGGGGGGCAGAGGGATGGAGGTAGAGTATTCGGCAAGACCAACTCGAAGCGGAGCACGACGTGGAGGATGACGAATTCGAGGATGAGAACATCGAGGATAAGGACGAGGATGAGACTAAGAACTAGGCATTCCCGGGTGCGGGAGAAGCCGACCCGGAGCGAACTACTGCAAAAACTTTGAAACTGCAGTTGGTTCCCGAGGACCGAAGAGTCACAGATACAGTGAAAGAAGTAAGGAGAGAGAGAGAGAGAGAGAGAGAGAGAGAGAGAGAGAGAGGTATAGTGACAGGGGAGGGAGAAAGGAAGAGAGAGAAAGGTATAGAGGGAGGAAGACTAAGCGAGAGGTTCAGCAAAGCCAAGAGGAATTGGTCGGAAGAGGGGGGGAGTCCTCAGAGATGAAGCAGCACTGCAGGAGTTGGTAGTGAAGAGTTCCAACTGTACCTACGTAGGTCTGTCGGACCGTCCGTATGCGTTCGTCTCAGATCAAGTTTTTCTCGAGTTCTGAACCTCCGAGCGAGTTGGAGCCCAACTCGAATCCAAGTTGGCTTCCTGGCACGCGGTTCATCTTGTCGTTTACTTCTCCCCCTCCCATGAGCCGTACCCTTCTCTCCCTCTTTCTCTCGCTCCTCTTTGGCTTTTCGACTCCCTCTCTCTCCCGCCCCCTTACACATTGTACGTCTCTCCTCTTCTCTATACCAATCTCTGTCCCTCTCTCCTGACCGCTCGTACTTCCACCCTGGTCCTACCGCCTGCCGACGTCCCAGGGGTCATTACTTTCTGTCATTGCCTTTAATTACATCAGGTTGTTGTTATGCAACACGGTTGGCTTGGAATTAGCGAAATATTGCCGCGCGCCGTCGGTTGGATTCAAATAGTATAGATTCGTTTTCTTCCAACTTTTTTGATATTCGAGGAGTAAATTCATTATCGTGTGAAATCGAACGTTGCCCTAAAAGAGGAAGTGCGTCTGGATGATCGTTCCTGGTGTCCCTATACGGTATAGGTATAGGCTGTGGGATGAGCAGGGACCTGACTCTCTGCTGATGTCTAACATGTTTGAACTTCGCACCTTGGGTCTCTTGTGTGCCCATACTCTCTGGGCTGCTTTGGGTTACTTAGGTCCTCTACCTCTTTATACATCTGAGGTTTCACGTAGGTACCCTTCGGGACAAATGTTGGAACGAAGACATTTATATATTTTTCTTTCCCGGAAGGACATCGCGAAGACACGATACATTGGGTCGGGTTGGATGAGGTCTCTTAGAGCAGGACAGCGAGCCTGTCTGTGTTAATCGAATGAGTTAGCGGCTGATGATGACCGTCATAAAACAGCCTTAAACCTCATAATGGCTACAGCATCCCTCGAGCTTCTCTTAGACACTTTTCTTCTTTCTAATCTACGTGTCCCGGGATACGAATTCCATTGTGTTAAACAGGATACGCCGTCTTACATAAAGTTGACTTACCTTCGTGGAGCTCGTGCTGGGCTTGCTACCGCCGACGCTTATGGCGTAGACCTCAACCTCGTACCACTGAATCCCAGCCTCACGGTCCAGGACGGCTGCCGTCGAGAGGATCCCACTCTTTGTATCGACATCGAACAACCTGTCCACTTGAGCTCCACCACTGCCCGCGGTCACATTCGTCACGTAATATTCCAGATCGACGTTGCTACGTCGACTACGCGCACTCACTTTGAAAATACTCACACCGGCTGGCTCGTTCTCATAGACGCTACCTTCCAGAACGCCGTGATGCTCCCAAGCTGGTCGCTCGTCATCCTCTCCAGGTACTATCAGGGTCAGGTATGTGTCTGAGGATCTTCTCTGAGCTTGTACGGCCTCGTCAGTCGCCCTGACGCCCACTTGGTACCTCGAGTTCCGTTCCAGACTGCTCATAGACCTGGGCAATCGCATGGTCAGCAAACCGGTACTTCTGTGCACGCGAAACATGTCAGGATAGCTCACACCTGAACCGAGAAGTTCATAGGTCACCAGACCGTTCGTACTGGAGTCTAAATCTCTTGCCAGGAGCTGTGCTACTGGCACCTCCTTGCCAGGTTGATAATTCAGGCTACCTTTCACAGGTAGCACTGCCGCTGACATGCTCACGAATATGGGTGCGTTATCGTTCACATCGTTCACGATAACTGTCACTAATTTTTCTGCTGACAGTCGTGCACTCGGAGGCTGCGCCCTGTCAGTGGCCACTACGACAAGCTTGAAGGTGTCAACTTCCTCGCGATCAATAGGCAGCAGCGTATAGATCACGCCCGTCGATGGATTGATCCCAAAGTAGCGTTTCTGATCATCAGGATCCTGACTGGCTATGGCATAGGTCACCATCCCGTTCTCCCCTGAATCTGGATCTTCCGCAGTGACGGGAACCACTGGATTGTGAACAGCAATTCCTTCGACTATCATCCGCACTATGGCGGTATTAGGAAACGCTGGCGGATTGTCATTGGTGTCAATGACGTTGACGCGGAGCGTAGTCACTGAACTCAGTCTTGGGTGACCTCCGTCGCTACAGGATACGTTCAGAGTGTAATTTTCTAGCTCTTCGTAGTCCAAGGGTTTTCTTAGGTAAAGAGCTCCTGTCAGTGGATCTATGTGAAACGTGTCGTGTCTGTTTCCCGCTGATATGGCAAAGGTCAGTTCGCTGTTCGCAGCCAGGTCGGCATCCGTTGCTTTGAATCTGAGTAATTCGGTATTTATAGTTGTGGTCTCTAGGACTGAGATGCTTGGAAGGATGTCCACGAAGACTGGGGTATTGTCATTCTCATCGAGCACCTCTACGTGGACTGTTGCACTGGACGATAGGTGAACCTCGAGGCCAGCATCGTGGGCGACGACTGTCAATGCGTATTCGTCCATAGTCTCACGATCCAATTCCCTAGCTAGGGATATTTGGCCAGTAGCTTCGTCTATGGTGAAGTGTCCGTGCTGGTTACCTGCTTCCAAGGAGTAAAAAACATCCCCATTTAAACCCTCGTCGGCATCGGTAGTGTATACCCTTAATAATTGGGTACCAATGGCGGCACCCTCGCTAACGGGGAACCGGTAAGGTTGTCGTTGGAATTGTGGAGTATTATCGTTGACATCGGTAACGTACACAGTGACCTTAACCTTATCCCGAAGCCGGTTAAGGCCATTGTCGGTGACGGTAGCTTCGAGCGTGATGTAGCTGACTCCCGTGTTCGCCATTAGATGTTCCCTGTCGAATACACGTAGCGATTTAATGAATCCATTTCGTGGATCCACTATGAAGTCTTGTTGGGTAGATGGCAATGAAAATGTTAACTCGGCATTGCGACCTACATCGCGATCAGCCGCTAATAATTTTCCCACGAAGGTGTCAGGCGGCTCGTTTTCACGAATGTGGAATGTGAAGCTGGAATTTGTGAACTGAGGCGCATTGTCGTTCTCGTCTATGATGTGCACTACCACAGGGACGACCGAGCTCCGACTAGGTTCACCCTGATCACTGGCAGTAACTTCCAGGGCGTAGTAATCCTGTTCCTCGCGATCCAGTGCACTCTTCACGTAGAGCTGACCGTCAGGAAAAATTCCAAAGCGACCCTCGGAGTTACCTTCGGTTACGCTGTACAAGACGCGGCCATTTACTCCAAGGTCAGCGTCAGACGCAACCAGGGCGAAGAAACGCTCGTTTACCGGTGTAGATTCAGGTAAGGACGTTTCGTAACCAGTCAACTCGAACACTGGCGTGTGATCGTTGACATCTTCGATGGTCACCCGTACTTGGTGCTGTGCTGATAATGGCTGATTTCCTGAATCGGTAGCAGTGACTTCCAGATGAAGAACAGTTCCCGGGGGAGCTCTTATTGGTTTGTCAAGGTATATAATTCCAGAATTGGCAGCAACTCTGAACTGTCCTCCGGGATTATGAGTCAAGGCGTAGGTTATTCGGGAATTTGCTCCTGCGTCTCGATCTCTTGCTCTGGCTAGACACACCTCCTGTCCCACTGCTGCGTTTTCCTTCAGCAGGACCTCGTCTCCCCTCTCGCCCTTTGGAAATTTCGGCGGGTTATCGTTCACGTCCAGAACGGTGATGTTTACGAACGTCTGACCGTGAGCGAGACCGGCCCGAGCCGCCACCTGTAGACTATAGTAGGCCACCTGTTCCCGATCGAGACAACCGGCTGTACTGATCATACCAGTGTTTTCGTCTATCTTGAAATTGCCTCTGCTATCCCCGAAGACGATGGAATAGGTCACCTTGCCGTTGGCGTATCTGGACACCTGGACAGAACCAATATTACGACCGAAACCCAAAGGCATCTCTCCGCATTCACCACGATCTTCAGAAATCTTGAAGTCGTATCCACTGTAGGTATCGAACTCCAGATGCTCCAGGTCCTCTTCGCGGAGTATCTCGACGACGGCGTCATGGGTGGCACGTTTATCTCCGGTGTCACGTGCTGATATCGTTAATTCGTACAGGGTCTTGTGAGCGGCACGTAGGAAACCCTGAAGAGAGATCTCACCGGTTATCTCATCCACTACGAAAAGTCCTTCGCCGCCAGATTCCAAGGAGTAGCGGATCTGAGCATTCTCTCGGGCGTCAGCGTCAGTTGCCATCACTTTTCCCACGGAAGTACCAGGAGACGCGTCTTCGGGTACTGGCAGGAAATATCTCTGGGGATAAAAAACTGGAGGACTGTCATTGACATCTTCAAGGCTCAGGAGAACAGTTGCCGTTGACGATTGCGGCGGTGTACCCTGGTCTTTAGCCACAATCAGAATTCGATATTCGCCTATAGTTTCACGATCCAAACTGGTCTTCGTGGTGAGCTGTCCCGTTAGAGCATCCAGTGCGAAGGTCTTTGGATAATCCCTAGCTACGCTGGGATGAAGACTGTACGCTACGCTACCATTGGTACCCTGATCGTTATCCACTGCCGTGAGGGTTGCTACCAGGCTTTGCGGTGGGGTGTTTTCCGAGAGGGTGATCTCGACGACACTCTGAGAAAATCTCGGTACCTCATCGTTCTCATCCAAAACAGTAACACGAAGATGAGTGGATGCATATTTTGGATTAGGACCGCCATCTCTAGCAGAAACACGAAGCTCCACGCTACCCTGTATCTCACGGTCTAATCTGGCTTTGGTAGTGACCAAACCCGTGTCCTGATCAATGGCGAACCATCCTTGCTCGTTGCCAGAATCAAAATCGTAATATATCCTAGCGTTTAAACCAGAATCCGCATCAGTAGCTGAAATACTAGCTACAAAGCTACCCGCGGGAGAGAGTTCAGATAGCACAGCTGAATATTCACTCTGCTGGAAGACAGGCTCGTGATCGTTCACGTCATTCACATGGATGACGAGGTACGCCATAGCGGACCTGGGTGGCGTGCCCTTGTCGGTTGCCACTACAGTCAGATTATACTTGGGTATCTCCTCACGATCAAGCCTTCCGTTTACCCTGACTATGTGAAAGCTCTGAGTGTTGTCAAGCCGAAAGTGACCAAGCTCATTTCCTGCTCGTATCTCAGCGCTGGTTTCGCCATTGAGACCCTCGTCGTTGTCCATCACAGCTACCGCAGCGACTATCCAATCCTTAGCGGCATTCTCGTCGACCGTGGCGAAACCAGCTGTTTGCGGGAAGTAACTGAACTTTATTTCAGGATCGTGATCATTCGCGTCCAGTAGGTTTACCGTAACATAGGTTCTACCATCCTGCCTTGGTGAACCGTGGTCCCTTGCAAAGACGGTTATTACGCAACTCTTGGGGCACCCACCACCGGGCCTAGTGATCGTGCAACTTTGTTGCGGACAGTCTAAAGGTTCAGTGGTGGTTATGGCACCAGTTTCTGGATCTATGGTAAATTGTCTTTCGGTATCCGGCAAGTAGTACGTTAACTTTGAGTTGTCCTCCAGGTCCTTGTCCGTCGCGTGGACCGTGAGGACAGCACTACCAGCTGGAGCACTTTCGTTCAGAGCAACCACATAGTCGCTCTGTTGGAACACTGGGGGATTATCGTTCACGTCCAGGACCGTGACGTTCACTCGAAGATATCCTAGTCGGGGTGGTCGACCACGGTCTCTCGCGCACACGTTCAACGAGTAGAATTCTACTTGCTCCCTGTCAAGTTTCCCTGTGGTCTCAAGATGAAGGTACGACGTCTCCCCGGTGGGATTCCCGGTGACGACCAGACGGAACTTGCCATCCGTGTTACCGTCGACGATGAAGTAATCGTCGTGGACGCCGTTCTCTGGAGTATCTTTGTCGGTCGCGGCATCCAGCAGTAACCTGGTACCCGCTGCTGCTGACTCGGAAAAACTTACGGCTATACTGGCTTCCGGAAATTCCGGATCATTATCGTTCACATCCAGAACGAGTATCCTCACTTCGATTGGATAGGTTGGTTGACTCGAGAGGACGACCAGGTCGTACCTGTCGCTGCTCAGTGCTTCGCGATCTAGTACCCTGGCTGTTCTTATTTCGCCGGTTTCGGGATCCAGAATGAACTCCTGTGGAGGCTCATTGAATCTGTAGGTGAAACCTGGTTTCACTGGAATCTCACCGACCAGGGTACCTCGCGGCTCGCCCTCGCGAACCTCCAACTGAACTCTTGTATCCACTGCTCTACTTTGCATTGCCAGACCCATACCAGCACCATCCTGAGGTAGCATGGGTGATCTTCGAGGCACAAGCCTGGCAACCTTTTGGGTAGGATATCTGTCAAGCTCGACGGCTTTGCTGGCATTTTGGTCCGTCAGTAGGAGGCCCAGGACCAGGGCCAGGATAATCAGCCTATTTGGCAGCATTTCTCCAGCCCTGAACCACCACCTCCTCTCTCGTCCTCTGTACTCTTCCTTTGGCACTCGTTTTCTCTCGTATACCCTTTCGCCCTGCCTTCTCTTCCTATTCTCGTTTGCTCTCCAGCTTCTTTCCCACGCTACGGCCCCTAGTTCCACAGCCACTACCTCTTGCACTTCTGCGGCATGATCGGCCGATCTTTCATTGTTCGCACCCTTCGTCTTGGTCAGGTCGTCATTACCCGAACACGACCTCCTCCACGATCTACTCAATTCACCTGTCACACGGATGTCCTGATATACACGCGTCTCTCCCCATTTTACGGATTTTTCGTCACTCGCGCACTCCGGACACTCACCAATTACAAAAGATGAAACTTCCTCTAGAAAAATAGGTTATCTCACAGGATCGCACTAGGTTCCTCAGAGCGGCTCCGAAGATTGAAGTAAACACGAGAGATGAATTCTCCAGGGAGAGGGATCACTGACCGGCGAGCCGCGCCTCGCGGGACGCGTCTTCGATCGCTTCGCGGGATATTTACGAGAATTTCCAAAGCCTGATTTACAACCGGATATCAGACCTTGAGAAAGAGCCAGATAACCCGGAAGTTCCGTGGTTCTGGTTCTCTTTCCTGTTTACAACATCCCCCTCCCCCGACCGGACGATGATACCAGATTGGCCGAGCTGCGCGATATCGTCCGCCTAGCAATGGGCCCTAAGTCGACCGTCGACTCTTGCCTGGTGAGGTGTTGATGTAGTGATGGCATTGGTACGCTCGGGACCGATGCTCTCTTCGTTCTTCCTCCTGGATGAACGAGAATCCTAGTGACAGACACTATGGTGATCTTCGCGAAAGGTCGACATCCCGTATGAGAGAGATTCCGTAGTCGAATACTTTGAAGGACCAAAAGGTCTCTGATGCCAGTCTGAGAGTGATAATTTCCTGCACAAGGTTTGGAAACGACGCGCACAGATCTAAACAAAAATATCACTTGAAATCACCGGCACTTCCTCTTCACTGAACTGTACCGAAGTCACTCGCGATGTTGATTCTTTCAGCACGACTGATCGGATACCGCGTAGGATTACGTCGATAGTGAATAAAGAGCGCGCAAAGGATCATCCACATAGCATTAACTGAGGTCCTGAGAGAAATCGGATTTAAAAAAGTAACGTAACGATAACGCGACAATGGGTCCTCAGTATCGCGGGGCCCGTGGAGACATTTTTTTTCGGCACGTGAACAACGTGATCTCGACGCGGTGAGCCTCGGCGAAAATCACCTTTCCTGTGGACTGACCCGACTCGACTGACTGCTAGTCCCAGAGCCGCCGCCACCGCTGAGCATTCTTGGGGCCTGATTGGCCTTCCTTCTCCAATCTATTGAACACGCTGGGAGCGCGAGTCGAGTCTCTCGCTCTCCTGCCAAGTCGTTTCCTTGCCCCTGTCGAGGCTTATACTTTTCTTCCTCGCTTCTGAGGCCCCCCCTCTTTCTCTCTCTCTTTCTGTGCCCCCTCCACCCCTTCGCCGTGCCCTCCTCGCCGTTGTACGGTCCCACCAGCACCCCACTTCACCTGGCCCATCCCGCCGCCGTCTTGCCGAGATATTCTACCTTTTGCCCTCGAGGAACGAGCAATGCGGAGGCTCAGGTATGCAAGATGGCCGCCGCTGAGTTCTGGGCCCAACGGAGAGCGAGAGAAGGAAGGATGAAGAAAGGAAGAACGGGTGAGAGAGAAAGGTGAGAGAGGGAAGCGAGGAGGGCGAACGAGAGATGAATAATGCGTGGAGGGAGAGGCTGAGGGACCCCATCAGGGTAGACTCTCCTAGCAGGCTGAACCACGGGGCCTCACCATAGGAGTGGGTCCTATCCTCGTAAGTCCTGGCTCCAGCTTCGACGCTTGCATCCGCGGACTTAGCCGCTCCCGTAACTAACCCGTTACAGCGATCGAACGCGCTCTCACTCGCATCCTTTCTACTCCTATATGTCTTTTCAATTTGTATATATATATATAAACATAAGCACATATATACATTACATCTAGCGATGTATATATATATGCGTTTATCTCATTCTGATTGCGATCTCAACGCTGCTCGTCATTGAGCCACTAAGCTTCAACGTGACTCCATCACGTAGACGCGTGTTTTGATCTAGTTTGCTGAGTAGGAGTGTACGTGGGCACCATCCTTACGTTTTCGCCTGCCAACATCCTTTCGATCCTCCCAGTACACGTGCTACGCTGGACCCACTCTTCGCGACCACACAAGTTTTTGGAGATTTGGGTAATTCAGTCATTTGGAATGGGATTTATCGATCTTGGGTGACTCTCCGAATCTCAAGGGTCGATTTGATGGAATTGTAAATCCGGAAATACCTAAGAGAATTCTTGCGATTAAAAATCCGATTAAAAAATAACTCATTTTTTTTACTATAGGACTTTCGTCTGGGCTGTGATATTCATAGACGGTGTTTCTTTGAGTCTGATTCCATATGTCTTGTTTATTTTTTTTCTTGATTTGTACGAGAGGGTAGCCAGGGCCCAGACGTCCTTTGGAATTCTTGATCTATCGATCATAGTCGAAGTGACCTTCCTATCCTGGATCTTACTACTCACATGAGAACCGCACCAATACATAGTAGCCACACGAGAAAGGGACACCCTGTATAAGAGCCCATTGGAATAGATCAAGATCGCGTAAAGTCAATGGATTAATTAATCGATTTGTGTTTACAAATCGGTGAAAGTTCGATCCCCCCTCTCCAGGCTAACCGAGGACCAGACTCTTCTGATCTAGCCGATCACTCTAGGTTGTACCGTCACAGTGAAGAATTATTCATGAAAAGATTATACTATCAGGTCCACCAAAAAGTCTCAATTTTTTTTTTTCATGTACTCCACGCTACGCGCTGGCTGATACCGATTTGACCCGTGAGAACATCGCTAATTTCGGGTGGCTCTCATGGTACGACCGATCGACCGAGCGTGACAGCGTCAGCCTAACGAATAAAACGAGAAGCCTTCAATTCCCTTTTTGTCGTGGCGTGGTTGCTAGCCGTGTAATTCAGTCACTCCCTTGCGAGCCAACCTCGATACAATTCCCGGATTTCTTAAGCGCACAAAGCGCAAGCATTAATATCTATCGCGGTGGCGCGAGCCGCCATTCATCGTTATGCGATATTAGAAAGAGTGTCTTGACCTATTGGCGAGGTTCGACATTTATCTGCTCCGCAGTCAGCCGAATGTACAGGCAGCTGTAAGTAGTGATGGCGATAATAATAATAACGGGCAAGCGGCGAATATACATGGACAGTGAAACAGCCAAGAAAATGAATCGAAGTTTTGTCCAAACGGAGGAGGTTACCTCAGTGGAGCGTGTTCAGAATTACTGCAGGGGTGGCAGAGATTAAGGATGAAGTATATAGAGGCTAAAGTAAGAAAGAAGAGGAAGAGGAAAAAAAAGAAAAGTAAGAAGAAGGGAACGACGTGGCAGCGCGCCGATTAGTGAAACCGTGCACCCAATCAGCGGCCTTTTGTGTTTCCAAGAATCGGCCTGGCTATTCTACATCTGTTCCACGTCGGTCCATCCTACATCCTATTTCGTCCCTAGGCCAGCCTCGCCACGGCTATTCTCTCCGATTGGATATGCCGTATAGATATGAGGCGAGTCCGAAATGGAGAAACCAGTCCCAAATGATCTATTGACGGAGAAGGACGACGTTCCTTCACGGGACCTCAGCACTCGCATTAGGATTGACTTTGAAATCTCGCTCGATCGAATCGGTACCCAACGAAATCGCTACCAGGATACCTAGATACCTAGATGCATCCCACGATCACGAGATTCCCAATGGACCCTACTCAAAAACTTCCAATAGAGATTCCGCTCTCGTCTGAAAAGGGCTGAATGTACCATAGCACAATCAGGTACCCATACAGTTCCACCAAGCATTCGCCATCCAATGGAGAACGGATATACGGAGATATCTTAGACGTGGCATGGACAGTGGTCCATTGTTGGACCACCATCCAGACTCACGCGGGCCCTCTCTCTTCGATAGCGGTACCGGACAGAATTCGTATGGTGGCATTCTTGTCGCAGGTAACATAAGCCATGATCAGAGGTAGAATGGGTATCGGGCATGTTTTAACCGTCCGCTGTTGGAAGCGCGATGTCGCCCCAGGTCAGAAGATAATATGCTGGTTTCATGGGTCATGCCTATGGCTCGTCTATATAATCGTATGGGTTATAGCTGCAATAGCTAAGGCCCATGGGGGTTATACAGTCTCTTCCAGGCCATCTATCTCCAGCCATTTGCCCTCGGTAAAGTCCGATGTCACCCATTGCATACTTATATGACTCTGCCAGTACCCGATCCTGCGAGATCAGTTTCATCCTACAGAGCCAATCTGGTACACTACTTTATAGCAAGTGAGCAAATTACGCGTACTAATAGACAGGATGTTTTGTCCGTACTATAAAGGAATCCTTTAGAGACCCTATAGGGATTCCAGGATGTCCTCTACTGGGCTGGTTCACGTTGTTTTACTAAAGTGGATCCCTTAACGATCCTACTTGTCGTACTTTACCAAGACTTGGAAACGTACCTGGTGATCGGTAGCTCACGGTCCTTTGGGTCACGGGGTAATGTCGTATATACCGCTTCTTGGATAATGTTCTCATGCGGCCCCACGTATAATGTAGTGAGCACGTTACACACGCTCGTTCCTCTATCGCTTCCTTTTAGATCTTTTTTTTTCAACGACCATATACAGTAAACTTATATAACGCGAAACAACGGATCGATTTACTTTATACTTATTTTCAATCCGAAACCGGACTCATCCCTTGGACTAGCCGCCACTTTTCTGCACGACTTCCTTCGCTTCGCATTACGAGACACGGAATGCGCCAGGATGACGAAGATTCTCCGATTTCTGCTAATATATTCGAATAGTTCATTCTTCTGCGAGATACCGCAGTATGGGTGTGTGTGTGTGTGTATATATATATATATATATCGTTCATTTAGTTCCCTACTGTCTCGCATAGTCTTATGGGTTTTCTGGTACGATCCTAACGATAATCTTGTACAGCCATCAATTTCGATTTCTATCTCTCTTCCTGTATTCTCTACGCGTAAATAATGTCCTTATGTAATACAAAAGGCCGTACGGTCGCCATTCATCTTCCATCCGACAACACACGAATACACGACAGCTATTAGATGTCCACGATCATGGAATGTCTCCATCCACGATGGATATTCACTGGTACTATTCGAAACTTCGTTAATCCTGCATCTTGTAGTTAGGTTCGGCTTACGCCATAGTTATCCCATACCTGTGTACACGAGTACATGAACGTGCTTAGAAAAGTATAGATATGCATAGATATACATATATGCGTGCTAAATGAATAATTTTGCTCTTTCTCTTTCTCTCTTAAGGAGAACGAGGAGTATGATGGCAAGTTGGTGCTTAAGCCATAACTGAATTTTCTCTATGAGGTTATGTTGTCTATACCGACCTTTTTTCTGGCGTAGTATCACGAACGAACTTTACCATTAATAATTCAATACTGTGCTGCATTTGTCCGATACTTGCTTTGTAATAATTCATTGCTCGCTACCTCCTGCCGATTCTTATAGTAGCCGATCGCGAATTGCCTCACGCTTTCCGGCACAACGATAGCTTTACGAGTTCGACTTATATTTGTCCTTTAGCAGGTTCTCGGTCCACGCCCATAATCGCGCTAGTCGCTTGTCTCCACTCATTAACTCACCTCATTATCGATTGACTTTAGTTACCGCTACGATTGCGCTTGTACTTTATGTGGAGGGCTCGTTACGTAATTCGAGTATACAGTTCTCCATTTTGTTAACCCGCGTGCGTATGCTGTATGTACCTTGTTTCTTACCTTCACTTTTTTTTTTCCTTCGTGTATTCATTTTATGGCGATGCCAAATAAACTCTCGCGCCACACTGTTTATTATTCCTAAGGTGTGGTATTACATGGGTTTTGTATTTTTGAATTGTTTAATGGAGCTTTTCGTTTTAATGGGTATTTATCAAAATGTTTTTCGGTGTAAAGTGTTGTGTAATTTTTATATGGCTTTTATATTACAATGTATTGGTTCGTTGTTCAGATAGTACCGTTACTTAAAAAATATTTGTTTTTGAATGGTCAGCACAAGTTTTTTGAATATAGATTTCCATAACTTAGGAAGAACTACGTATGTCATACTTTGATTATTGCTTTATATGATCTTTCTTAGTTTCGTATTTTCTGTTACGTTAAATATTGCCAAGAAAAAGTTCTCAAGCTATTAATTTTAACATAAGGTACCGCTTGGCGCTATCTCCAGGTTTTTTCCTGCAACTCCTTTGATCCTTTTATATCGGGTTACTTTGCATTTCGAACACGTTCTTGGAGGAAAAGAATTGGATCCATAAATCACTATTATTATGTTAAACCAGAGATTAAACTATAAATACGACTGGCTGCATAGTGATGGCAGTTACAGCGAGATAACAAATTGAACGCTGCCAAGTCGAATTTTCTGTAGCGCGGGAATTGCAAGCATGTACTTTGAAGTACAGCGTTATAATATATCGATAGGGTTTTTAAGAAAATGGCGTTCTTAACAAGGTATATTTTATTATTCATTAATGATACATTAAATGATTGCGCTGCGTTTGGTTCGCTGTTATATCTTTGGCGCTCCATAAGCGTCCGGCATCCGCTCGATCGTATAACGATGCTGAGAAACATACATTATAGGTACACCTGGTATTTTGCGTATTCTTCTTTTCAAGTCTTTGTCATTGGTTGCTACTATGTAACATTTGTGCTAGAAAAAAAATATAATACTTAGATTTTATATATCTTTATTCGTAGAATAATAAAACTCACCTGAGTTACTCTATTAACGATACAGTCATCTGCATAGGTTCCTTTATGCATACAAGGTAGTCTTTCAAATCTTGAATCTTTTATGATCTTTAAAGCAATTTTATATTTTGGTCCAAGTTTCTCTAACTCTCCCATGACACAATCAGTTATATATGGAATGCATTTCGCATATAAGCAATCCATCATATTTTGAATAATGTCCAACTTATTTTTGACAGAAAAGTTTATAAAATTGGTATCAATCAGAATGTGATAGGGTGGCCCCAACTGAGTGTTGTATTGAAAGAATAGTGCTGACGATTGTTGTGGTCTGGAAGAGAATGCAGTTTTGTAAAAAATTATATAAATTGAAATTGATTTTAAATCAACTTACACTTCCTTAACTTTCATTTCTGTGAGATCTTCTGGTTTCTTTTTTCGTGGTGCCGCACGCAGATTTGCTTTACTGTTAAAATTGTCATAACAAATACAAAGTAAACATAGAGTGTAACACAGTATTAATCAAAGATCAAAATAGTCGAATATAATTTTTACATTCTGGGATCGCTTAGACTGATCATCTTCTTCATCTGAGCAAATCGTTGCATGACAACCTTACGAGTCTTCTTATTTTTACCCTGTGTAAAATAAAATTCACTTCATAACCTGAACTTTACATACATAACCTATGACCACACTTATATCATTGTAATAATCATGAAGCTAAATTACAGAGATTCAAAAATTCAATTCATTTTTACTGCAAATTATTAAACTTACCATTGTATTAATGCTTCAATTTCTTACGTAATTAATAGACTAAACTTTACAAGTTTTACAACCACAAAACCACGCTTTGCGCTTCCTACACTTTTGACATTAGGACACCAGTGCACATCACTTTGAAAGCAATCACGAAGAAACGCGGAGTATCAATCGGTAAAATTCGGATTTCTTCGGGTATACAATAAAGATGGTCTAATACGGTGTGGCGAAACTAGATAAGGATCAAAAGTTCCGCGTGTAGTTAGGCTTGGGAACTTGTCGAGGGATTATTGTGCGCCAGCCGACACGTTGGCTCTTATTATGGCAGTTCGTGTTGAAAAAAGTCAGTCGGCCTAAAGTCAGCATATTATCCGGTAGTTGTGACCTATGCGAGAAAATTTGAGCTGTTGACAGCGACATAAACATTTTGGACTTCCTTATGCAAGGTGTGTATTGAGTAGGAAGCAGCTACATATTTACTAATAGAGAAAAGAACCTCTTAAGAATTTTTGTAAAAATAGGTTAAATATATTGTTGAAACTGTCGAGACATACAGAAATATCTGTTCGGGTTTGGCAAAAATATTTATGGCTGTGCTATTCAAATATATTATGAATATCGAGAATTTGTTATTTAATTTTTCAATTTAAAAAATATTTTTGCTATATTAAAAGTTTGAGAAAATATTTTTTATGAGTTTGTTCACATGTTAGATAATAAAATTTTCATGATATATATGATAGTATTAAGTTTTTGTATGCTTGATGTAAATAATTTCTTTTATAACTATTGATTTTGTTACAGGATCCTGATATTTAAGGAAAATGCGGATTGTACGAATAAAGAGAAATCGCCTAATGAACATTTTGATTGGGGTTGCCTTGCTCTTATTGATTCTATATGCATTGTATATTTTTACATTGGATAATCAAGCAAAAACGTTAAAAGAATACTGGACTGATGGCCTTAAAAATAAACAGGTAATTTTTCATAACTGAATATCAAGATAGTTTGTAGTTCATATAGAAATTAAAATTCATGCACTTCATTTTTACTTATCAAGCATCCAGTACTGATAAAGGATTTGGGAAATTTTGAACCCAGAAATTTACCTGTTAAATCGGGACCTGGTGAGGGTGGAAAGCCTCACATTTTAAGGGATGATCAACAGAACGATGTACAGCAATCAGAATCTGATTATGGAATGAATATGGTTTGCTCCGATGAAATATCCTTGGACAGATCAGTTCATGACACCAGGCCTGCAGAGTAAGTTTTTTGTTTTTTATATACATATATAAAATATAGTATTCTCCTTTCGTACGTAAGCACATAATTTATTTAACATGAATACTGCAACATTATAATTGTGTGAATGTTCATGTATACATATGCTGATTTTGATTTTTTTATTATTGCATCCATTGAATAATCTCTAGTAAAATTTTTTATCAATCCTGAGTATAATATCCTTGGTGAATAATGTTAGCACAGTATTTGGTACTTTATCTTAAGTTATAAAGTGGCTGTATTGGAAATTCTGTAGCAACAGCCTCATGTGATATTTGCGACAAGTTGATCAATTAGCAATTTCTGTTTTAATAACACAACACGAAACGACACTGCCATAAACAGAATAAATGGATAGTCATGTTAGTACCACTTCAATGGTATTTTCGCTTGATTTTAATTATGAGAAGAATAAGTTGCGTACAAACATGTTATTCTTCTATGCCCAGGAAATTTGTGTTAAGCTATTTGTATCAGTTTCGCAGTACCAAATTTTTCATCAAAATATTGTTTATCACCTCGTCTTCCATCATGGCATTAAAGAGACAGAAACAGACATGTCTACTTTAATCCCAAGATACTGCGATTTACTCATTACGATAAGTCGGCCGATATACTTAGCAGACTACACGCACAGATAATATTACAATGATTATCATTTTCAAATGCTTCATTTGAAAAAAAATTAATGATATTAATATTCTCACCTGACTCGTAACTGAACATGTATTCATTTCTTCCTGAGTTCACTTTTCTGTCGCTCGACGTGTTTCTTCGAACGTGAGATCAACATTAAGCCGTGCTTTAAATATTTTTTGTTTCATTTTTGTTATGCCTAAATCTTCCAGCTTAAAAGTTTTTTTACATTCATTAACTTGTCATAAATGTATGGTATTCTCAAAAATACTTATATCCGCAAAATTACGATCTGAAAGATTATAGGACATCGTATTTTTCGTTCCATAAGTTACTGGAAAATTACCGAGTTTAATGAAATGTGAAATTTACAATGGTGAAGGTCTCAGTTCACTCATTCATTCTTTAAAAAAATTATGGTAATCATAAATGTTTGTAGTAATGTAACGTAGTTTTCATTCTTTCTTAAACAAATATTTTTATTTGTACACTTCAAAATTATTTATGCTCGTGTTTTGCATGATTAACAGACTTCACAAAGTAGATTGGTAATTGAATTCAGAAAGCAGTTTTGATTTGATCATAATCGATATGTTTAATTATGACAACTTTCTATAAAATATGAAATATTACACATTATAGAACAACGTATTAAGTTTGACTTTGTGAAAGAAGATCATCAATCATTCTCTTTTTACTTACCCGGATATATTTTGGTAGAGGCGACATTGTAATGTTTTCAGAGCTGAATTTAAGTTCTAGAAATCAGTTATTAGTTCTTTTCACGTTTTACCAGCGTCATCACAATCGTCAATAGCCTAAGCCTCTTATGGCATACCATATGTATAATCAACATAATATTGAAGAATCTTAAAATATTAGTGACAAAGTTTACTTTGCTCTTGACATGGAACATTCAATTAGTTATCATTTCTTCACATCCGTGTTAGTTTTATTAAAAGAATCATATAAGGAACGAGCTATGATTCATCATATACTATTTGTCATGATGATACTATAAGTAGAGAAAACTCCTCTTCCAATATTAATCTAACAGTTTCTTTTTTTATAATCTAGATGTAAACATTGGAATTACCCTGATGAACTCCCAAAAACTAGTGTTATCATAGTGTTCCACAATGAAGGGTGGTCAGTCCTAATGCGAACAGTACATAGTGTTATCAATCGCACACCTCCTCAATTCCTGGAGGAGGTTTTGTTAGTCGATGACTATTCAGATAAAGGTGAATATTTGACAAGGTAGAGCAAAGGTAACTTTACTTATATGAATAATTTTTTTAGATAATTTAAAGGATGACTTGGAAACTTATATTGAGAGATGGGGTGGAAAGGTTCGCTTAATCAGAAATCAGGAGCGGCAAGGATTGATAAGAACCAGGTCTCGGGGAGCTCGAGAAGCTAAGGGTGAAGTTATTGTTTTCCTAGATGCTCATTGTGAAGTCAATATTAATTGGTTGCCTCCGCTCTTGGCTCCTATTGCTGCTAATAGGTAATTAATACATGCACTCAAATATGATCTTACTTGCTTTTTTATACCTATGTGCAACTGGTCATGGTAAATGTTTCATCATGTCGTTGTGTATAAGTATTTCTTCAAGATTTAACTTTTGTTTATTTGCGTGAATTTTTAGCAACATTATGACAGTACCCATAATAGACGGAATTGACCACAAGACTTTTGAATATCGACCAGTTTATCAAGAAGGCCATCTCTATAGAGGAATCTTTGAGTGGGGAATGTTATACAAGGAAAATGAATTGCCTAGACGTGAATCTAAAATGCGTCCGTATAACAGTATGCCTTACAAGTACGATTATTATTTAACATTAAAATTAAGAATTATTGTACTAAGCAACAGTAATGATTCTTCAATCTCTTATCCAGGTCACCTACTCATGCGGGTGGCTTGTTCGCCATTAATCGCAAATATTTCTTATCGCTCGGTGGATACGATGAGGGTCTGCTTGTTTGGGGTGGAGAGAATTTTGAATTATCCTTCAAAATTTGGCAATGTGGTGGTAGTATAGAGTGGGTACCGTGTTCTCACGTAGGTCACGTGTACCGTGGGTTTATGCCTTATACGTTTGGTAAGTTGGCACGAAAAAAGAAGGGTCCTCTTATTACCATTGTAAGTAAAAGTATGAGCTCATTATTTTTCATGTCTTCTATTAACAAGGAACGATGTACAATCGTATAATCATTTTTGTAGAATTACAAGAGGGTCATTGAAACATGGTTCGATGAGAAACACAAAGAGTTTTTCTATACTAGAGAACCACTGGCTCGATTACTCGATCATGGCGATATTACGGAGCAGTTAGCATTTAAGGAACGGATGAAATGTAAAAATTTTCAATGGTACATGGATAACGTCGCCTACGACGTCCTTGATAAGTTCCCGGAATTGCCTCCGAATATTCACTGGGGAGAGGTAAGCCAATAAACTTCGACATTTTTTAAATTGAAACGTACGAATTACAGAATTTTTATAATTTGTTTATAGCTGCGAAGTGCAGCCACTTCTGCATGCCTCGACACAATGAGTCACGCTCCGCCAAGTCTTATAGCCACTTCGCATTGTCATGGTTTCGGTAATAATCAGGTAAACACTTGAATACGATATTTTTATAAGTTAAAAATAATTGATTATTTACTAATACAATATGTAATCCATGTTGTAGCTCATGAGACTAAATGCTAAGGGTCAATTGGGTGTCGGTGAACGATGCGTAGAAGCAGATGGTCGGGGCATAATATTGGCTTTTTGTAGATTGGGTACTGTGGATGGTCCATGGCAGTATGACGAAGTAAGATTAAGAAAAGTTTCTTCCTTTTTCGCGGTATCATTTGATACCAGCGAGGACAAATATTGGAACACCGTATACATTTTGTTCGTGCAAAACAAAACAAAAGATTACGTCAATGATATGTTTGTACAATGATCTGTTATGTTTTCTAGAAAACAAGGACACTCTTGCACAAGGTTTACAAGAAGTGTATGGCTCTTCATCCACAAACACAACAATTGTCTTTGATGCCGTGTGACATAAATAACACCTACCACCAGTGGACCTTCCATCAAATAAATCCACGTTGGTGAAGGATTGACTATGATTCGATGGCATCATTTTTATTTTAAATCTGCAAGAGAAGTCGAGGTATTCTTTACTTGTATATGCGTGCCGCCAATGGTGAGTAAAATTTCGTTCTCGAAAAAAATTGGTTTCGTAAATCGACGATGGGCTAATTGAATAATTTTGGAAAGTGTCACATGATTTCTACTAGACATTTTAAGTATGAATTTTGAAACGCCCGCTCTTTGTAAACGCGCACAACGGAACTTATAGACTGTTGCATTATGTATTTTTTAAAGCGTGATTCCATCCATCATTTTTTATTAACAATGCGTTATACATTCCACATGGACTTTTGAAGATTCAGAATAGTTTCAATCAGGAACGGGTATTTCGTGACTTTGAGGTCGGACAAAGAACGTATATCGAATCGATATCAGGTTCGAAAAGCATATTCATAGTGATGAAAGAGATGAATTCATAGGGGGAATGAAAAAAATCTTACAATCAAGTCGTAGATTACGATAGCATGTAATGAATCGCGAGCTGCCTAATCTTTTTTGTGTATGTTTATAATCTGGATCCAATTCATCTGAAATAACATGGTAATAGCACTTTTTACCTTTCAAAACATAGCTCTCAGAAGACATTATCATATTTAAATCTATGTCTAGATCACGGTCTTGTATACAGGTCTGGACATTTCCCTATCCTCACCACGTTATAGCTTGTAACCGCTAATGTGGCCGGTTTTGCCCGCAAACGCTAGTGTCGAAGAAGTCTGTTGACTGACTGACATAGCGCAGCTACCAGGTACTAGGCTCTTTCAACACTAACGCCTCTTGCGGCAGTTGACACCGTATTGCCACGCGTTTTTCGCCTAAGTGCCCAGACCTGTATACAAGAAGATTTCATCTATTTAGAACAGGTTGGACAGCTCGAATACAACCTTACAGCCAATGATCAAAGGAGAAAAAGAATTGAAGAGTATATTTCAAAATCTCGTCAAATTCTTTATCCCGTATATATGAACAATAGTATTATAACTGCAAACGTTATGGGTGCTAAGTATCCGTGAAAACTTTGTAATCTCTTTTTTGTATTACCTGAAACGAATCGAAACGAGCAAATTTCAGACCGATACGCTTTAGCGGGTAGACGAAAATGTCTACTTTCTGTCCGCTAAATTAGTTGCTGACTTCATTTCATCCCTGTTAGAATCGAATTTGTTTATTGTAAGCTTCTGAATGTTGGTTGATTCTAACCATCAATCTAACCATCTGTCATTCTAACCATCAAACAATCTGACAATTACAGTTGTTATTTGTTGTAGCGCAATCGTTCTGAAATTGTCTTGTTTCGACTGGTTCTAAACATTAAAACTCCCAGTTTCAACGCGAATAATATGAAAAATATAGTGTGTGACACGGGATGAAACGCGATTTCAGACTTCAGGTGATGTCAGCTCTCGCTTACGGCTCGGGCAGCCACTTCACTTTAGTCTGAAATCGTTTTGTTTCATCTCTTGTCACACAATATAATATTGTTTACATTGGTAGTGACATTATTGATGACAAAATGCTAAGTTTACTGTCTTTATTATATTGTACTAGCTTCTAGAGGTCCCTCGCGAGGCCTTCGGTACTGTTTCGTATCTCTTTTTGTGAAAAGTACTTTTGCCGGGGACAATGATCAAAAATATTTGAAAATATCTATATCGATGATTAAGGCTACCTGAATGTTGAGAATTAGGATCCGGAATTTAGGATGTTTTAAATTAAGATATTTGGTCATAAGAAAAAATGATTCAAGATACCAAATCATCAAAAACAATAGCCGGAACTAAACACCAATATTGGAATATTCAGGAATATCGTAACGAATACCTATGTATACAAGTGCGAGAAAGCGAACTTTATAGGCAGGCGGTGAAGTTGGTCGCATGAGCCGCACACGAGTAACACAACGGTAGCAGTTAGTTTTAAGAAACAATTGCCGAGCACGTGCGAGCGAATCAAGAAGGTCCGAAATTTTGTCAGACAGAATGAAATTCAGTGAAAATTCTTACAAAAACAATTGACTCCCGGGGGGATATGCGAACGGTATCACAATAATTTTCGTTTAATGACAATAATATTTATGAACAAAGGGGTTAAAGGGTATTATACATATTTTATATTACTGTCACAATCGTTTGAACTGGTTTCAAAAGTGATTGACTTATTACTTGATATTATTATTTATATGAGATGCAAAAATTGTAATACTGGACAATCGGTCTCTAAATACATGATACAAGTGGACAAGGCATGATCATTAAAAATGTGCATTTGGACAATTTTGTTTATATAATTGAGGCATTTTTTTTATTTGAAGGCAAGAAGTCCTGTCCACTTGTATCACAATCAAATGTTCTTTCCGCTTTGACCTTTATGGAAATATTGCTCTTCGTTAAGCGCCAAGTGTCACACTAGCTGCAAAGAAAGGGGCACGTTGACATTACAGAGCTCGTGACATTCGCGAGATTATGACAGTGTATTGTAAGAAAATGAATATTTTATTAAAATAAAATCGGTTTTTTAATAATTTGATTATTAAACTTTGATGGGGTCCATGCTTACCAGTGTAATTAACAGTATATTTAAATTAATATTTCTTTTATTATCCAATTTTACGAATTCGTATTAATACAGAAAGTGCGCTTTAACCATAATATTCAAACACATTCCACAATATGTTCACAATTCTTCTTATCGCTAAATTGTGTAAAAAGCACATTCGCCGAAGCCGCTGGTGATGCAATTATTCAAATATGAAATTTCGAAGTATAGGGTAATATTAGTAACTCGGCATGACATGAAGCATCGTTTGTGTATGAACTTGTCGAGGAGACAGAGTAGAAAAACCTAAAAGAAATAATTCCATTTTACATGTCGATGCATTTGTAACATTTGAAAAATTATGTTTTAAATAATGTATTTCTTTACCGTATCAATGAGGTATGTAGTAACGTTAGAATCAATCATTATGAAAACGCTTTATTGATTGGTGTTTACGATATCATCGATCTTCAATATACTGCGAACGGTCTCAGAAGCCAGAGTTATCAGACTGATGGAAACCAAAAGTGGCTGCACGACGTTTTCTTCCAAGATATTAGTAACTGTACCCTTACGTACATTTATCCCAGCAGTTTTCTCACCCTGAGCATGTTTATTTCGAAGCTCAGTTACTGTAGCAATTGGATTGAGTCCAGCGTTCTCTGCCAGGGTCGATGGGATCACCTGTAATTGTTAAGGGACATAAAGTTAATTAATGAGGAATTCTTCACTTCTTTTGGTATAATAATGTACAGTGTAAGCTACCTCGAGAGCATTGGCAAACGCTCGGACGCAGTAAGCATCTACACCCCCTAGAGTCTGGGCGTAAGAAGCCAACTTGAGTGCCAGTTCTGTTTCCGGCGCACCACCTCCAGCAATGAGTGCCTTCTGCTTGACCAGGCAGCGAATAACGCATAAGGCATCATGGAGTGAACGCTCTGCTTCTTCTAGAACAAGCTTGTTACTACCACGAACCAGGACAGTTACAGTGCGACCTTGGTTTTGAACGCCGGTGATCTGAAATAGTCAAATAAAATTAAGCTGGGTCCAGATATATTAAAAATAAGAAGAGAATGGATGGAAGATGTTGGGAAAATTTACCTTGACAAATTTGGAGTTACCGGTTTGGACTTCTTCGCAAAGCTCGGCGTTCACCAGATTCTCTGGCAGAAAATGATCCAGAGAAGCGATTGGTCGGCATCCCAAAGTCTTGCAAACATAAGGAATATCCTCGCGTTCGATGTCCTTGATTACCATGACTTTAATTTTATCGAGGAAATGAATAGCCAAGTCGCTGACGGCGTCACGGAGGATAGATTTTTGTACGAGCAGGACGTTACATCCGCTCTTTTTTATTTGTTTGACGATGTTCAGTATATAAGCTCTTTCTTCCTTGAGCACCCGGTCCATTGCTGCATAATCTGATACGATGACGTTATGGTCCATCTGTAAGTATTTGGTTTACCCCACTGCGCAGGTCAAGGTTCAGGTTAATGTTTACTATTACTTACATCAGTTTTAGGTGGTGATATACAAAATTGAATAAGACCAATTTTTGCTTTTTCGATACGTCGCGGTCCATTAACGTTACACGATTTTTGAGTGAAAACCAGACCTTCAATCAGTTCAGTATCTTCAACGGTACCTCCGAGTTTCTTGATAATTTTGATATCCTAAAATATGCAAAATATTATGGTATTGTTTGTGCAATTTAAATAAAAAAAATGAAAATATTTTCATGCCTTACTTTCAAATCGACAGTATTCTCTTTTCCTGGTTCAGTTACTTTCAACACTGCATTCACAGCTAGAGGTGCCAGAATGCTCGATTGTTGGAAGACTACCTGGAAATAGTAGAAAGTAAAGTGTTTTATTATAAAACAAAGTGTTATTGCTTAGTATATAATTACTTTGGAGTTAAGCGATGTGGCAGCAGTCTTGACAAGAGATTCTTTATCTGCCAAATCAACTGGTATGGACATGTCTTTCAAAATCTCTACTGCTTTTAATGCAGCCTTTTGAAAGGCATCACTGATCAAAGTGGGATGAATTCCTTTTTGCAATAAACGTTCAGCAGCTTCTAAAAGTGCACCAGCTACAACTACCACACTGGTAGTTCCATCGCCAGCTTCAACATCCTGAGCTTTTGACAGTTCTACCAACTGTAAGAATTAGTAATAGTTAATAGATGCCTTGTCATTTTTTGAAAAATTAAAAATAACCATCTGTCTTACCATTTTTGCTGCTGGATGAATGACATTCATTTCTTTGAGAATGGTGGCCCCATCATTGGTAATAGTGACCTCTCCATTGCCAGCTTGAATCTGACACAATACATTTAATTTGGCATAACTTATTTAGTACTACGTACATTGATCGAATGTCGTTAATATTTACCATTTTATCCATTCCACGGGGTCCCAAACTCGTACGAATGGCATCGCTAACAGCTGAAATAAAAAAAATCATTCAATGTTAAATTCATATGATTCAGTGCACGTGGGTTTAGTTATGGCAGCACCCGTAGTTATGACCATAAATGGAGACATTTAGGCTCATATTCCAAAAAATCGGAGTAGCACATTTCTTCCTTAACTTTAGAGAATACAGTAACAAAATAATATATGAATAGAAAAATGGACCCACCCTTCGCAGCATTGATGTTACTCGTTCGAATATCGGTAGGTTTGCTTTTATCTTTGTACGCTTGTCCGTGGGCGCGTCTTCCATCGCCGGCCGCCGAAAGTGCCGTCATTTTACCTTTTTTATATGTTTCTCGTCGATTAGATACTTTTGATCTTACTGGTGCAAGCTTCTGAGAAGCTTTGCGACTGAATTTACGACTTCTGGTTTCGCGTGGCAGTTTTTTTTCAACTAGGATTCGCTTGTTACAAATGCACTGGTAACGGAGGCTTCCACTTGAAATACACGAAACACGAGGTTTTGCGCTCGATCATTGATGTCGAGAAGGTTGGAGAAGGTTCGTTGCGCCATGGAATAATGTGCGAACTATGTTGGGCAACATAGTCGGGAGTGTGGTAACGCTCGTGTTTCACACTTTCGACAACAGATGGCCGAAAGCAGCAGAAAATTTACCTCTATGAACTCAGCATTATTGGATTCTTGTATGAGAAACTGAACATAGCCTAGTTATCCCAGCTGATTTTTTGTTCTTACGTAAATTTTTTGTATTTGCCGAAGTCTTCCCATTTTCTGAATTTTCAAAATTTATACGTTTAAATTATTCTTCATAAATGATACGTTGCAGCTGTATTCTAAACTTTATTATTTCATTGTACGAAAGTGTCTTATATAAATATATTTTTACCAATTTATCTATGCTACAAACTATTACGGAGTTTCGATATGAGAGGTAATAAAATTTCTAAATAGTTTATTTTGTACTTTTCAATTTTATTACAAACTTATGTATTGTTCTTTCGCAGCGTCTGAATTACACAAAACCCCTATATCCAACCATGAAATATAAATTGAAACTATCCAAGGAACAATCCAAAAAATCTCAAAGATTAGCAAAATCAAGGAATTCCGAAGACAAACTGAAAATGTAATACTCGATTCTCCTAATCAACTAGTAAAAATTATACAATTTTTAAACTATAATAATATTTATAGAATTAAATAAAACCCATAAAATGCCAAACGAATATCTTCAATAACCCATCTACATAAAATACTTGTAAGTGTAATTCATTTCGTAAACTGCGTTAAAAGATAAATAATAAAAAAGAAACGTCTAATTTCCCACACAGTATACGAACACGCCTTTTCTTAAGTAGCATCATCACCTCGAGCACCGTCACCATGATCAAAGCGTCTTTTATACTTTTTATGGTGAAACTCAAGAGGCCATGTGTCTCATCGACGTCGGAAACTTAAAACTTCAAGGTGCATTCCAATCGTAACGGTTTCCCAGATTACAGTCCTCAAGTCAAAAGTACTCTCAGAAGAATTCAGCCAACTGGCCCAACCCAGATTTCATGGGAGTTAAGAAATTTCAGTTTCACCCACAGATTACTCTCCTACAGATATACATACATAAATTGGTTCGTCTCTACATATACTCGAAAATAATGTAAAACAAATGTTCATTACCAAGTGGCTATAAAATATTATAAGTCTCATGTTTCCAGATTAGCAAAATCCACTCATTCCTCTACACGTTAACGACAGCGACATGCTTGATCATTACTGTCGCACGATACCATCCGCGATAACTCAGAATACGTGTTCAGCCTAGCAATATTCTTAATGCTAACACCAGGCACGCTTGCTAAAGAGTAAAGACATCGGAGCAGTACGTTATCGCATACGATTTACGAGTGCAAACTGCTTTTGTAGGACTTTGGAACATTCGAGTAATGAGAACTGGCAGTTCACCTGTGCGTTTCTATGTTATCGCTAATTCTCCACGTGTACATATATATGCTCTAGTATACACTTTTTGCCATTATATGCACCGAGTGCTACATGGCTTATCATACCGGGTAATCCAGAAGTCTGGATTGTTCTTAGAAGCAGAAGAAACAATTGCTGTATTATGCGACATAAACATATGGAATTTCTTACACACTCTATGTTCTGTATATCCCAATATTATGTTCTTCAGTCTGTCCACGTGCAGTTGCGTAATCGATAAGAATCGTTCAAGGGTATCATAGGGTGTGTTATACGGTGGAATAATTTCAAACAATTTTATTTCTCTAAATAACTCTATATGCATGGCTACTCAACGACTATGCATGTATACTGTTACGAACCTATATACTGGGTGGATATAAATAATTGGTATTACAAACGCATCATAAGAAACAACAGATTATTACAATTAATAAGAAACATTTTTAATTCCTTTGCGAACAAAATTTTCGCGAAATTGTCATCGAGGATAGAATTTAAAATACTTTTGCTTTCAGTCTCATCCGGCTTGTTCGTGACTCAACGTCTTACAACTTCTTCAAGGATTTACGTAAATGCCTCCGACGAATTCTTTTGATTCAGTCTGCATAGAAATAGTTCGAGCATCGATTAATAATACATTTCACGAAATATCGCTCAAATACGTTTCGTCTCTTCTTTTCAATATGCAGCCTGCGTTGTTCTTTACGTAATCCAAATACTTGCCACTTCTGGTATTAATCGCTGAACCACGTCGCAACCAGCAACCTTTCCATTTTCCATCTAGCATACAATACTGGCTGAATTATTAGCAAGGCGACAATCTTACCTTTAGCCATGACACACACTTTTACTTTTGCCACTGGGCGGTATCGGTGGGTGAACCGGAAGAAAAGGTTTCACGATATATAATTATATGTAAATGACCAAATCTTATTTATCTATCCACATTGTATGTAGTTGCTCGCTCTAGTCACATGTTATGTGACTATTATAAGTACGCATGTGCATATACATAGGTAGATACATCCTGGAAGGAAATAGTAACCCGTTGTCGCTGGAACGCTTAGCACGTACATTTTTACTTCCCTTGTAGATGCTGTGTGGAATTACTATAACATTAGCAGCATTGGATATCCTGCTTACAGAGGTAACAAGACTTAACACTGAAAATGAAAACTTGTTTAAAAACTTTAGACTGTTTGTATATTATGAATATTAAATAATCTGGTGGTACCTTGTAGGTAGAGAAAGAATAATTTTCGTGTAAAATTCAGAAATTCACAAGTGACAAATATTTCTATATTTCTTTTTGTCTTGTACTTTGAAAGGGAAGAAGGATTGCTTGCATCTACCAGGTCCCTGTATACGAGGTGAACTGAATGGCCTTCTTGCAGGACGCTTTTCAACATCACACAATGCTAAAATCGAAAAAGGAAGTGCCTTCATAAGTATTGTGGTATTTTATTGTTAGTTCCTCCCTAGGAGCAGCACCTTCTTTGTCTAAAAGGTAAAAGCAAAGTTCCCTAGATACGAGCGTATAGAATACAATTTTTAAAAAGCATTAATTCTCCTTGTACATACCAATCGGAGGATTTGTATTCATAATAAACGCAGTCGACGCGCCAGTGGCAACTGGAGGTACCAGAATCAGGACAGTAGGACTTCAGAGGCCGAGCCCACGTGGTTCCTTCTACGAGGATGCCCTAGTATTCTGTATCAACGGCATCCTTACGTAGAAACCGAGTTCCCTACCTTCTACCCCAAGGCTACCCTTTGCACAGTATAGAGCAAGAGGAGCAGCAGACCCGTTGGTTAGTTCCCTTCTACCTGCAGGCAGCCGCTGACATTCTGTGTTGACGTCACGAAGATAATACCTGGCTGGCGCAGTGTAGCCACACTACTAAAGGTTCTGCCACATCGACCAGGGCAGACGCTCGTCGGTGTTTCTCAGACTGACTTACATGTGTATTCACTCACAGGTGTACTGGTCCGTACACACAGCCATTATACCTACTACACTGAGCGCACTTTAGGCTGAACGCACAACGGCTGACACTCACCCACAAACTGTCGGCGGTCACGAACGACCGAAAGCCGCTCGGTTGTTATTTGCTCTGTTCGTATTTTTATCACAAGTTTTATTGACAATCGTACGTACTGTGAAGAGTGAATGTTTAATAGTGACAATAGTGCTTTTTTAAATTGATTCCGTGGTGTTACCGATTGTAAATTATAACAACATTTTTGTGTACTTCGATTCTGCTCGGTGAGTGCATCGTGTTTATTGAGGTCTGAGCGTCAGATGCAAGTTATTGTATCAGCATTGTTTTTGCTGGATTTTTATTTTTAAAGCATTCGATCAGTAGTGAAGGGTAATTTTTTGTTGGGTAGGAATTAATGGAGCGTTACCTATTTTAATGAGCTTTATTGTTCGACTTTAATGAGTTAATTAATTATCGTAGCTGGTAATTAATTGTTGTTGATCAATAGACGCTTCGACTAGACGCACAGAGAAAGTGTCAACTATTGCAGATTATCTTTAACGGTGATTCTTGTAGTCTCAAAAGTCATTAAACCCCTTTTTAAATGACATTAAAAAGATTGTTTTAAACTGGAACGATTTGTGGCTTTATATATTATCTTATTGGAAACTGATACGAGTTCGAGACGCTTGCCGGTTGTGATTTCAAAACCATCCGTTAGACAGTTGAAAGTGAAATACTAGCTGATGGCTAATAAAACGATACGTGCAGTGCGGGAATTTTAAATTAAAGAAAACATCGCAAATCAATCAATTTACACGAATCGATCGGTGACAATTAATTGAAAGTTTTAATATAATGAAGAAAAAATGAATGTCCCCATAGTATCGGGAGACATTATCGATGGCGATGGATATAAGCCGCGATTCGTCAGGGTGAGTACACAAATATTTTATATAACAATCTTATAAAATTTTTAGTTCTGTTATCTATTGGACTTTTTTTATTATCTTAAAGTCAATCTTTATATTCAAAATATTCACTCGATATCGCAATGGAAATGATTGAACTGATCTTTCGAGCTGTTTATCGACATCGATAAAAAATTGATGAATCGATGACGTCAATACCAATATGATTTATATGCAAGGCATGATCGATTCACGTATGAAACTTGTTTAATCCAAGAAAGATTACTTTAATGGATATATCATAGCTATGGTATTTCTACAAGTTGGGCACGCAGAATTTATCATCGTCATTCCATAGCGATGATGGTACAACAAAGCTTCGCGTACATGTTTCAGAATTTTTAGAATCGATCATTAATAACTCTAACTGATAATCCTATTGCTTCCAAGAAACTGAGTAATTCAGCGTTACTCTTAAATTTTACCAAAACTTTTCTATTCTATGTTTCCATGCTAAGAAGTTTAATCTCACACTGAATTTACTATAAAACAGTGTATCCATAAAATAATACTTTTTTTTTTTAAATTGAAATTCATTCCTTCTGGAAAAGCAGACATTTTGGAAAACTCACAATATCTATGACCAACTGTGGATATCACTTTGCTGTGAGAATATCTTGAGAAACGTGTCCCGTGCCGTGGAAACTGTACCACGTACTTTATTGTTTAGACTTATACACGCTCGCTCGACATGAGTACATATATGTAACATACCCGTCGTAGTTTATTGCGACTAGCAGGATAAAAACAGCCGCCATTGTTATCACCGGATTTCACGTACGAGAATCGCACGCTCGAAATTCTTACGAAAGCGACCGGTAACAGGTCCTCTGATGAACTTGGTCATTTTTAAAATGTTGCTTTATCATATTGTCTTAACCATTAGTCACGCACTCGGTAGCAGTTTAGTATGCAAACAATTATACTACAGTCCGCCTCAGGATTGTACGCGAGTTTCGCAAAATGTGGAACATTTGAATAAATGATAGACGCGTATCTGCACAATTGTTTTAATGTCACTGTAGATGTACTTTGACGTGTATTAGACATAGCGATAATTTCGTGAACTATACTATACTGTGTACGTCTGAATATCTGCATAGAGAGCGACAGTTTCTGCGAACTGAGTATAGGTATTGACAAGCGATTGCGTAAGTGATTATATAAACCTCAGTTGGCTTTAATGGAGCTTGGTGATTCTCAATTGTATTCCATTGGTACGCGATAATTTTAATTCTATATGTGTACACATACAGTATACAGGATACCCTTTAGGAAATAACATGTCAAATTTTGCCGGAAGTTGGTTGGACCAATTGTCAATTGGATTATTGATTTTGTGTAGATTTTATTTTCAAATGACGACACAGGCAATTTTTATTATTCATGGTGATTTGTATTTCAATTTTTGTTATGATCTCATATTTTCATATCTCGAATACTAAACATTGTAATGCAAGGTATATTTTCGTTTGTTTTCCTGTTCTATATAATGAAACTCAAAAATACTATATTAACATGTAACGCGAAATTACTTGGTTTACCAGACACCTTGAACGGCGATATTCTTTTCATTGAAACTCATAACGAAGTCACGGCCTATACCTCAAGGAATATCTTTTTAAAGAACTCGTCCAAGCGCAAAAGGCACCAACGAAAATCGTTAAAGCATAACGAAAGCAGCACTTCGGGGTTTATATATTTTTCTTTGCTTTGCTGATTTGTATTTATTATGTTTCACCTTTTTCGAAATCCTTCGTGAAGATGTTATAGTCGATCTTGAAGCTATAGACTGTTTGACACGTGCCTCCTTCGACGTTACGTGATCAGCTTACGCTTCCTCGTTCTCCGATTGGAGTTACGGAACTTGGTTCTGGTATTATTTCCAAAAAAGGGTCGGATAGATGAAAATCTTCGACTAATCGGCATTTTTAGCGTGCAATTGTGATATATCGTTTACTAGATATATTTCTTGGTTAATATTTTTGTTGTGATGTTGAAAATATTCAAATTTTTGTTATTATTCAAACGAGACTATTCGACTGCATATACATTTTGAATTACAGCTCGTATTAGGAATGCATGTTCTAATCGAATACTCTTATCAACCGTATCACCAATTGCAATTTGGAGTTTCAGGTATTTTTTAGGTGAAATGTATCTTAGATTTTTTCTTGACACTGTACCTTGTGTCTGAAATATTTTTTATTCCCATGCCTATAAAAATGTTCAATTTCACTGTTTTTTTTTTAATTTTACCAAAACTCAAAAATTTCTTGTTTATTCGAATTTTTGGGGAAAGCGTTATTACAAGCAGAAATTCAAGTGCCACGATGAGTAACGTACTACTACTCGTATTGAACGGTTGAGGGGATGTGACGTCATAGGAACAGGTGTTACCCAGACAAGTGACTTCCGGTGGTTACGCTTGGATTACAGTTCTCCATTGAACGTTCCGTAATCTTGACATTGAACTCAGGTTCACGGATAACGATTTTTTGGCAGTGAAAACCAGCCTGCAAGTCTTATTGTTTTCTACGTTTCTATAAAAAACGCTGCTTTTTTTAAATCCCCCCCTTATTCACTTTCATTCACTTTCGCGTCTAAATCTCGTAGTAGCGTATATATACTGATAAGGCAATACTCTTTCTCCTTCATCCAGGATCGGTACTTCCGGTTTAAAATAAATCTTTACAAATTCTTTATTTCCGATCGTATCTTGTCCCATCAGGATATTATATTTATTCTCGGATCAATTTACCATAAATTCGATATCCCCACATTCACTTTTACCCGTCATTCCGGCGACTGTACAACAACGCGATAGTATATACTGCATTGAAAAAGAACCGGAATTCCTCAGGGTAAAATAATCAAAATGCTACGGCTACACGTGCCAGTTGCGGTATTTGTAGAAGCTTAGAAGTAACTCGAATGAAAGTTAACTTTCTTTCACATGTACCTGTACGGTTAACCAAACCCATATATCGCATATGAATATATTCATGGTAAATATGGACGTCTCGAAGCTTAAAGTAAATATACATGTTTCAAGTCTCAAATGTGAATTCTCAGTATTCATAAAGGAAGTTCGACATATTCCCCAAGCCCTTTCCTCCTCAATCGTCCTCTCGCAATATTCAATTCCATTCGTGCAGAATCCTCAATATCTTGCCTTTGTTACTTTCCTCCCGGAGGTCAGATCCTCCGTTACGCCGTTATTGAGCGTCTCGTACGAAACACACATATATATATATATATACATATAGTATAGAAAAATACATAATGCCTCAACTCGAATATATATATATCCATACATACATGTACAGAAAGCATTATGTGAACCGTGCGGTTTAAACGTAGGCATTATCTTTACAACTGCCAATGCCCTATTGTGTACGCGGCTTTACGTCCTATGTTATTGCGATTTTGTACTGCCATTCGTAAAAACATCGTGCACGTGAGGTTCCAGCCGTAATTGGGTACTTCTTCAAAGGTATATTGGACGTTCGTGATGCTCGACGGGCCTTCTTGGTTGGACGGCTCTGTCCATGGGTATCGTAAACCTTTATGTACATATGTAGAGCACAGACTCTCTATATGCTTAAGAGCCAACTTTAAATTCAACACGTGCGTATATCGATAGCGTCGTTAAAGGAAACGCTTCGTTTCCGGTTCGGATCAGGTAGCACATCAGTGGACGGACAGTCTTAATCGCAACCGGAAAAACGAGTCATGTATGGGATGTCAAAATTGATTTGAAGTTTCATGTACTTGGCTCGCGTTTCCTAGATATGATTACGACTGACTTTTTTCTTTTATATGGATCTATAGATCTTCTTGCAGGGGGCGGGGGGGAGGGGGAGTCACCTTCATTTTGTACAGAAGAATTTCGTTGGAGTAACAATGGATACCTTGAACCTAGGACTTCCTGTATGATTTCACAGTGTTTGAACCCGGAGAAAAAAAGAAGACGTTGACTATTCGCGAACGAGGTATAGATCATTGATCATCATCGATCACTGATCGTTACCGCTGGCACGGGCTGTCCTGTGTAATCGGATTGGAACACGGATATGTTTCAACTAAGGACGAGATTGAGATGCTGGTTTGTGGTATTTTGTGATGGCAGGACCTTGAGACATTGTCTGATTTATTAGCATTTTTTTTTTTTTATATTGATCGATATTATTTATTCATACTTATTATTTTTCGTGTACTCAATTATTCGATGGACGAATGCCTGTATTTATTTTTAACTTTGGGTGGACCGATTCCGATAGAATTAATTTTGATTAGGGTTCAATTATATTCGATAGATTTGCTGTTTTTTTTTTATTTTGCTCAATTCTTATCCCAATCACATAGCTATGATTCACAGCGTACATATACAACCGGTAACCAGACGATGCGTAATACCGTGACGTCGTGAAAGGGGATTCCTGTCTAAAAAGTAACGACGCAGACACGAATCGACGATATCATTAAATTACTCGTATGAATTCACGCTATCTCGTTCACCTTCCTGTACAGCGTTAATTACTCTTGCTATTAGATGGGATGCATATTTTTTTTTATTACGCTTATTTTGCACTGTGCTGGATATACGCGTCTGGGTATGCGCTGTTACTCAACTTACTCGAGCGTTGTTAAGTATAGAGAACTTTGCTCTTGGCTTAATTATCGAATCATTCATAGAATCGTTTTATTACTTTATCTTTAATATAATTTTGAAAAGCATGACAGAGGAACTGTTTTGAGATATTGTATTATTATTTTTGACGAAATTTTTTATTTGAGTAGAACGACTTGAAAATCGTGGATCTTTTTTTTTTGATAATTACTTTATCGGGTACGCTGAATCACGTTTAAAATGAAATTGCTGTCGTTGCTAGGGTTTTCGAGGACAAGCCGAGTGTTTGTTCCTGTTGATAACAGGACGCGTTGCCAGAGAGATGAGAGCT